GAAAAAAAAGACTAAAAAAAAAAAAAAAATTATAAATCCTAGAAAAATAATTTGGGGAATCCAGATCGAGGCAGATTGCTAAGTAAATTAAGTATAGTTTTAAAAAAAAATTGTTTAAATTGTAAAAAAAAAAAAAAATTAATTAAAGAAAGGAGCGCCCCTTTTCCTATAATAGAACCGCATGCTGTTCCGTAGCCGCAGGTTCCCAACCATTGCTACTACACAGTGTTGCCTACTACACACTACTGTGTTGTACACTGTCTAAACCAACCACACAACCCAATTAATCCTACTTCAAAATTATCCGTTTTATTATCTAACGTAGAGTTAGAGCAGGGGTTCAGAACTCATTTAATCACATCTTTATTCTTTAAATTATTTTCTTGTTTGATCTATTATATTTAAATACAACAACGTTCATTTTTTTTATATAAAAAAGTTGTTTGTATACATAATCATATGTGATGTGGTCAAATGTTTATATTAATATTTAATAGACTTGAAGACTGAACTCGATTTTTTTTTTTTAAATTAACATTCTAGTGCCATGTAACTAGTGCAAAAAACTTGCGAATATACAATGTTAAACTTTACACTTAGTTTCTTCTACTTCTAAGCCCAAAAATACCCCCACGCAATCACTGGTTAACGGCGCGCGCTGCCGCAGGGCAATCTGACGAACCAAAAACAGCCGTCGCTTGACGCGAGACTGAAAGGAGAGAAAACATGGCGAGCCGGTAAAAGCAAAGGCTGGCAAAACGAAAATGGCGCCGGGAGAAAAAAATCCAACCTCTCTAGCAGCTGACCCGCAACAGATAAAATCAATCACCACTTAATCGATGCTCGGCGAGGTCACCGGAGCCTCAAATGACGTGCGCGTTGGACTCGAACCGCAACCCCCTCGCTCGTTGGTGCACCCGCTACCTGGGCCCGTAACAGTCGTCTGCTACGCCATTCCGAGCGCAGAGATGAATATTGGCGCGTGACCTATTTCTAAATTACCCAGGAGCCTCAAATGACGTGCGCGTTGGACTCGACCCGCACCCCCCTCGCTCGTTGGTGCACCCGCTACCTGGGCCCGTAACAGTCGTCTGCTACGCCATTCCGAGCGCAGAGATGAATATTGGCGCGTGACCTATTTCTAAATTACCCCCCCCCCCGTACACACACACACACGCACACCCATCCCCCACCCCCCAACCAATTACAATAAACCGTGAGCCTGTTGGATAAATCAATAACTCATAGTCCCAAATAAAATTTATACCGACGAAACCACCAAAACACCTAATATAGATAAACTATACCTTAAAAATTAGAGCGTTCACCAAATGATAATTTACATAGGCTAATTTTTTTTTGTATATATATATATATTTTTTTTTAATGCTGTTACGTGCCATTACTTACTATACTAAATCATCTTACTAAGCACGAACTATTCCCAAACTACACATTTAAAAACATGTTACACAAATGTGCTCCGCATTGTTGCCATGACAACTCTAAAGAAAATAATATCAATAGATAGGAAGACAGCCTCATTACTAAGATTCGAACTAATTCCAAACTGAATGACTTGTATTCTGCTGTTTCATATGTGCTAACCAACAGAGCTGAGCAACCCCTTACTACACACATTAGATAATTAGTGTGTTACAATAATGTGTCCATCAAGGTTACTATGACGTCAAGTAAAGAAAGAAGAAGAGTGGAAAAAACACACAAAAGGGGGGAGGGTGGAGAAAAACTGAGATTCGAACCCACACCAAACGAAAGTGTTGTGCTAGTTGAGGTGTTATATAATAAATTTGTCTTTAAGCATTATTGGCGTGGTCCAGTTTACAACACCCAATCACACAGACTGTGTTTGCGCTACTGATTTCTTGCAGTCAAAAACTTTTGTGTAGTCAAAAGCTTGATTGATGAAGTTGGTGTGTGACACATGTGAATGCTACTATACATTTGAAGACTTGGCAAAAATGGATAAAAGGTGGAGAAATGGAGTAAGAATGAGAAGAGGATGAGGAGAGGATACATAAAATGTATGAAGTGAATGATATTCATATTCAAGAATGTAAAACCACCTCAAATTTAGTTGAGTTACGGGTAATGTTTAACATGAGCGCCGAGAGAAAAGTTTTGCTTGCTTGAAGAAGAGATTAATAGTTTGGTATTTTTTGTTTATATTGTATGTGTATACTGAAGGACAAGTTCAAAATGGCGTGATGGTGGCCTGGCCATTTTGTATGCCACGGTTAAAGCTGTGGTTGTGGTAGCTGTCTGCTGTACTGATATTTCTCAAGCAGGGCAGAGTATAGTATAGACAGAAAAAAGGCGTGTGTCGCGGAATCATATTGTATCATTCAGTGATATCGCTCACAATGGGGGTGTAGGGTTTCCCACTAAAATTATAACGAAAATTGTGTTTATAAAATGAATTTTAGAATACATTTAAAGAACAAAGAGATAAAGTAATTATAAGCTGACAAAGAAAACATTTATTGACTTACCCTGAGATTTTTTATCAAGTCCGCAAACGAGAATTCTGGACATGTTGTTGCATTGGATTCTCCGAGTGTCAGGTCAAATCTATACGTTTCTTTTTTCTTTAGTACTTTTTTTTGCTTTTGAGATGGCGGAACAGTCGTTATCTCCACTCTTTTCATTTCAGACATGATGAAAACATTTTTTTCACAACTTGTCCAAAGAATATAATCCTTTAATTATCCGTCTCCAGGCTATGAGGCTAAATCTACCGCCATTTTGCGTAGTGACGACACAAGCAAATCTTCTTCCGGAAAGGGTTTCCTTGGTGGAGTCCAAGCTTTTAGGGGTTGAAGGAAAATCGCAATTTAACATATTTATAAAGGTCACTTTTAAGAAAATTAATTAGTTATAGCAGTAAAGTTTATCCTTATATAAATGTATTTATATATTATTTCTTATTTTAAAAATTGAAATGGTAATTTTATTTTCCCATAAGAATAATGTCAAGAAAATGGATCACCCTACCCAAAATAGATACAAAATGATAGGAACATACTTGACCTCGGAATCCCCCTTAATAAACAATATAAGCTGAATTTTTCTCTTTTTGCAGGGGTTCATCTACAAACGCCGATATATATTATTATATTTTTTAAAAAAAAGATAAGCGATAAAATACAAAAGTTAATTTAATTGAAATAAAATGTTTTAGTCTAATTATTAATATATTTAAACTTCGAATGCCATAATTTATAATGATAATGATGTAAAAAATATCTAATAATTTTATACATCAGTACAGTCCTCTTAAATTTTTAAATTTAAAAGTTAAATTTTAATGCTAAAAAAGGGGGTTGCCGATATGGCAATAGTTATGATAATAATGGTTCGCGTTCATTTAAATATGTTCAATATTATTGCTAAATAAAGTTGTAAGTCCCTTCTTCTTCTTCTTCTTCTTTATTTTAAGGGCCCACGATCAATGAATTGATCATTCTGGCTCCTATGTTTCAGAGAGGTTTACGATGTTACTGTCCATGGGTTTCAATGGGATACTTCACTGGTTGCAAGGGCGACTCAGCAGTGGTGTTATGAACTGGGGGTTGGAATACAGGAGGCAATAGACACAAATGTATCGAGTGTAGCCGCCTCAACTGTTGCTTTTGGAAGCTTGTTCCAGTCCCCTATTGTCTTCGGCAGGAATGAGGAGCTTCTGTACTTCGTTCTTGTTTTTACCAGCCGGAACTGTTTCTTTAAAAGCCATGTGTCATTATGCCTATGACAGCCTATGTCACAAACAAATACAGTGGATGAAGAGGTACGCCCCATCGTTAAACTAACTTTGACGTGTTCGTTTCTTCACTTCATATATTTTTTCCCCTGTCGTTTTCTAATTTCTACCCAAAATAAGTAAAGTACCCATGAAATACAGTTTGATTACTTAAAAAATAAAAATAAATCAGTAATATGTATGTTGATTAAATACATCAGTTTCAGAAGAGGCTCATGTCAAAAGCACAAGATTCAAGATGACCCCCACACTTTTTAATATAAAAAAACAAAAAAAACAATCATACACAAAAATTAACAACAAGGCATTCAGCAGTTTCATTTTATTTTTATTCATCACTGTATTCTTTGAGCAATATTATTATAAGCAGAGGAAATTTTTTTTTTTTTTTTTACTATCAATTAAAGCATAGAAATTAATAAAGACAGACCCAAAGTGAAATTGTTGCAGCAAAATCAATACGTAAAATAAGACTGAAACTATCCTCTCACTAACCCTTAATGTTAAAATAACAATATAATTAAAATTATTAAAATATTAATGTTTTGAGGCAAAAAGTAAGATGTGTGAGAACACTTAGGAAATGAATTAAAGTGACACCAAGAATTAGATATTACATCATTAATCATTAAATGTGAGATTTATTTTTAATGCATTAACACAATATGGATGGACTGTACAGATTCAGTATCTTTCTCAAATGTGCATATGAAATCATTTCTAACAATTGTACAATTCTTATTCAATATCAGAGTCAAAATATATCTTCTTTAAATTAAAAAACAATTGACAATACACATAACCTTACTAAAAAATATTAAATTAATTTTTTTTTACACAATTTAATGATATGTTTAAGTATAAATTAAATTTGAAAATGTGTTGAAAAGATCAATTTTTCAAATTATATTTCCAAAAACCAAGGTTTGATATTTAAAGAAGAATGCATTTTTGGTGGCTACAGTAAATAACTATACTTTTTAATAAAAATACAAAACAGGACCGTCCAGCTATGAGATTATCCACACTCATTCATGTATCTATAATACTAACATTTAATATTTTAAACATGTGACATTGAGAATGCAGTTATTGTTAGCTTTTTTTCAAAAAGGAGATTTTTGCACCCAAAAGTGGAGGACATTAGGGCTCTGTATCATAAATCCCAATATACCGGTTACCAGTACATTAATTTGGGTTTAAATTTCTTGTGTTTGAAAAAAAGTACGGTACCTATAACTGACTATTTATTTCACTGATACACATAATCTTTGGGTAACAATAAATAAATATATAGGAGCCAGAATGATCAATTCATTGATCGTGGGCCCTCAAAATAAAGAAGAAGAGGAGAAATTTTATTTACACCCATGGTTCAAAACACAGGTTAGTCAAAAGAAAAGAGAAGTTTCACCTGTCCTTGTTTTAAGTATTGAAAAATTAAGAAAATGTTATAAGGCTATGCTGTCTCATAAAAAATGTATCCGTGTTTTATTAAATAGATGAGACTAAGGTTACACCACTGACGTTTAAATTTTTTACGTATTGATAATACAAAAGGAAATTAAAAGTTAAAAGAATTTTCCAAAACTCACTGTCCATGAAGATATTAAAGAAAATTACAGAATACTGAGTCTTTGTTAAAATAGTTATGATTGATAAAGACATACATGGTTTTGTTTCTCTAAGACTAAAGTTGAGGCTAAAGTAATACTCTTGTTTTGTTAATTACAGTTTATTGATTTTTTTTAATTTAAAGAAAAATGTATTTGTGGTTTAAAAATTATAATTTAAGTACTAAATGGCGGTAGCGATTTCAATTAGTTAAAGTGAACAATATCAGCAATATTTATTAAAAATTTAAAAAATAACGTAAAACACTACAGAAAATGCCATAAACTTGACTTATAATGAATACAACATATTTTTTAAGATGCTTGTCATGGAGCTGCATTCATACTACAAATTGATTAGCCATGATATAAGCACACATGAATTTGTTTCAACATCTCATTGATTTTTAATGTCTATGAAGCAGTCAGATAGTAAAATATAAACTGAAAAAAGTGGATGTAATAGACTACCTGTAGAGCATAATCTATATTTTATCATCATTATTTTTCAGAAAATATTTTAAACTTAGAAAGTAAATATTGAGAGTTGACTAGTTAGTGATACAATTTTAAATCTTTGTTAACATGGAGATCTATATTTTACAATGTATTAATTTAATCCTCTGAGAAGCAGCCTAAATAATTTTTTTTACAAATTTAAAGACCAGCCATAGTTTATATATAATTATATACATGTGTGGAACAACTTTTAGGTTTGGGGCAGTGAATGATAAAAGTAATTTATCTCTATGCTTGAAATTATAAATAAAAGGGATTAGACAGCAAAAAGCTCATAAAAATTGCAAGGCCACAAAGCTGAAAAAGGTTTTTTGTAAAGTAAAAACACATATTCTTTGTTTCTATCTTTAGTCAAGCTTCATCCTAAATCATTACATACATTTTATTTTAAAGTGATGAGAAGAGTAAGACATAAATGCACCAGCACAGAAGAAGACAACATATTTCTATCATTGGGGTACTGTATTTAAATATCACAAATAAGGACAAAATAATTTGTAATGGTACTAATATGTAGCAAAAAGTAATTTGTAATGTATTTATTGCTTTATAAACAATTTATTTAGCCAACTTTTAACTGCAAAAAGGCTACTTCATACAAAATTAAATTTAAACCAATTTTTAAAAGGAACTAAAAACTTTAAATAAAAATAGGTACCGTATATATAACACAGGGATCTCGAACAGACAACATTAGTTTTTTTACAATTTAAATTTATGTTAGTTTCAGATTTGTGTTCTAGTGACAGACATATTTGACTGCAAATCCATAACTAAACCTTGTCTGCACTTACCAAAATGAAGCCATAAAGTAAAATTTGATTTGGTTTTCTAACTTAGCTTCATTCATAAAAAAAAAAAAAAACCTTTACCTTTTTAAAAATGTTTTTAAAAGATGTTGGACTATCTTAAAGGCAAGTAGGCTCTAGCTTCATCAGGCAAAAAAAGTTTATAAACCATTCATTGTAAAAAATAAAATTATCAAGAACTTTGAACTGTTCCTCCCAAGTTTTGTAAATAACTGATGGAATAGGTTAACTCAATAAATAGTACATCAACAAAATTTGTACATAACAAAGTAAAGAAAAAACCCCCAAACCTGCACAATAAAAGATGGAAATACAGTCTGGGATCAAACAAAAACATATGTACTGATCTGTTGATTGAGATTTATATAACCCAAAAACGTTTCATATACCCTAATGGGAAAAAATAAAAAAGTTTTTTTCAATAACATTTAGGTTAACTCAAAGGATAATGATAAAGTATTTTATTAACATAAAATTAATTCTTAAATACCAGTAATTTAAAAACTGGAATCTCAATTCTCTTACAATACTTTTAGCTTAGTTTCCTTTACCGCTACTTAATGTGATAAATTTAACTTTGGAAATATTATAGATCCAGGTGAATGTCTTGTTACAGTGGTAATTCTAGGATAAAAATAATGATCAAACCCACAAGATATCCAAGCATTTACCCCAGTACATCTTACTTAAGAATGGTCACACCAGAGTGTGTTTCAGAAAACACATAGCTAGTTAACAGTATTAAAAAAAATATTATGGCAGTAGTACCAAGAGACACAAATTTCCATAAAATTAAGTTCAATACAGTCAGAAAATTCAAATCAAGAGAAATACTTAATCAGTTCACATTTAGGTTGTGTGTTTGAACAATGACTGCAAAAATACTAACATTACATTACAAGGTAGCATCAAATTCTGTTTCTTCTTTTATTATTACCAAGATTCAGTTGAAAATGTTTAAGAACATCTTAAACTTAAATATATCATTTTAAAACAAACAACAACAAACATTTAGTTATTTGGTTAAATATTGAAATACATACACAACAAGCAAAACAGTGTTTATCATAATTATGCATGTCACAAAAAATGGAGAGTTTGAAGTTTAATTTATTCATAAATGACTAAGTTTTTAGATGTAGCTTGTGTTCTGTATGGAGATCAACAACGATTTTCTTAAAAGATGAATCATAGTGTTGAAATCACAAGCCTTGGTTGAAAGACAATGTATTGTCACAGAAAACTGAAATAGGTGAAACAAAAAAAATTATTATCAACTTTTCAACCATATTCATCTAATGAATTTGATAACCCACCTAAAAAGTTACTTTTTTGTATTTACAGTACCTGTATTTGACTTTAGTCATATAAAAATTATGAGTTCCAATTAAGCTAAATCTGATAACTGTCTTGCCTTTAAATATTGAAGAAGATATGATACAATTTATTGGATTAACCAATCTGGACACCCTATGAAATTAATGTTCATCAACTATGTTCTTTATACTGACATTTTTAACAAAAGGCATACATTGTAAAAAATATAATTCTCTTTATACTATATCCATTAAATTCAATATACACAAAAAATTTAAGGTTTCAGAAACATGAAATTATTACAATCTGGCATCAGATTCTTGTGTATCAGTATAACCATGTAATTTTCTATAAGTTTCAAAAGGGCTTTCCATAAAGTATGTCATGCCCTGGAAAAAAAAAAAGGATGGGGGGTGTCTAAGAAAGTGTGACAGTTTGTGATTTTTTTTTTTGGGGGGGGGGGAGAAGAGTGTTAAAATATTGTGTCATGTCACACATTCATTATTTGTTTATCATACAAACAAATCTGGAAATTGACAAGTGATACTAAAATTTCTTTATTGTGATGGATGTTTTCTGACGGAAGATTTCACTTTTAAGCATTTAATAGTGTGTTTTAGATTAAATTTTAGTTTGTTGCTAATTTTTTGAACAGTTTTTTAAAGTTCGAAAGTGTGGCCTACTTTAGTGGGGTGGGAGTGGGTTTCCCTGAGATTGTGACAGTGGGGAGGGAGGGATTAAAATTTTGTTTTAAATAGTGTGGTATACTTTATGGACAGCCCAAAGATAGTAAGCATAGTTTGATACCTGAATATAATTTAATGTAAGCAAACTAAAATTTGATAAGAAAGCCTACATATTTATATGTTGATCATACCGGTATTTCTATTTCACTGTTCTAAGAATAAATATGTTATGAGTATGAATACATTACCATTATGATTTGAATTCTGCTATTTAATTAAGATGAGGTTGAATAATTGTGATCCTTCTTTGCTGATGAACTTTGAGAAAAAGAGTTTAAACTTCTGTAGGCTTCCTCTATCCTCATATCCTGAGAGACAATAGAGCTTGCTGTGCTTTGTGGACTAACCCAATCTCTGGCTCCTACACTACCACTACTTTTGCGAGACAAACCACTATGAAAATATGTGTGGTCATCTCGCATTTTCTGCCGGGGGAATGTGGCTGAAGAAAATTGATGTCTCTCAGCATTTTCGGAAATAGTCAAAGTGTTATCATCATTACTTTCAGGGGTACTAGATAAAACTGACTTTGGCCTCACATAAGTATGGTCATCCTTTTGGGGCATTCCAGAAAGAAAGAAATTCTGTAACATTTGAGCATGCCCAACTATTAATTTATCACTGTCCCGGCCATTTGTGTGATCAGTGTTGGAGACATAGTCATGATCGGCAACCTCCATCTCATGATCTTCATTTCCATTTCGACTAGCTGCTTCCAAAAGAGTTTCTTGTTCGAAAAGACTATGACTTGCTGCAGTACCATCCCATGTTGCCGTAGCATAAGTATGGTCTGCTTTCCGTGGCCAGCATGGAAACTCAAGTGTGTCATTGACAAGTCTGTGAAGTGTATGAGAAATTCCTGTCTTTTGAACACTTTCAGTGGATTTGGAAGTTTTTATACTAGATTTACCACTATCAAAACTAACTTCTTCAAAAGAGCAAGATTTTCTGGGAGAGTTCTTTGACAGAACATTGGGCCACTCACAAGCTCTGCTAACAGTGCCCTGTGTTTCGCACTGGGTCTCTATTTTGCACCTGTTGTTATCAATATCACAGTTTAGATTCTCTACTGATGAGCACCTCTTGTGTTTTAAAGAAGTCAAATTTTCTTCAGAATTTAAAATCTTAGATGCATGTTGAAAATTAAGTTTCATTTCATCAGTAGATAAAGCAGTTTCATCTTTCATTTTCAATTGTGACAATGGTATTGTTTTTTCTTCCTCGTCTGGAAGACGACTCACCTTAAGTGCTGCTAGTGCTGCCTTGGCAGTTTGCGAACGAGTTGTTATATTAGAGCCACTAGAGGCATACGTGTGGTCACTTTCTTTCTTAATACCATATCCACAGGTGGATTCGAGCATATTTGATTCTTCTCTAACATTCTTGTGGTCTAAAGCAAGCACCATATCGGCAAAAGTCAATAAAGATGTAGTTGTGGCTTGAGGAGGGGGTTCCCCAAAGCCAACTCGCGAGGAAGAAAAGAAAACATTGACATCCCCAGAGCCATCTACGGACATTATGCTCTGTAAATAGGATAACATATAACTTTTATCTCAATATAAATCCATATACATTTGGAATATTCAACATTATACATTATTTTTGCATTTTCTCTGAAATATAATGAATTCGATGGAATGTCATTCATCGTCCACGATGCAACCTTTCCGTGTCGCTATACTGAGTTTGACTGCTTCCGTCTGATTGAAAACGAGGTCAACAACTTAATTTCCATTTTTTCTAGTAATTTTATTGGTTGAATCCTTTCTTAAAATAAACTTTACTTTTGAGTGTAATGACACACTGTGTTGTTGTAATGGTACACAGTAACACGGCTCAAGTTCACAATGTGTGATTGTCACGTCTAGGTGTAGGCCTACACACTAAAAGTGCGTCTCTAACTCTTGCTAACAATACACATTTCACTGATTACCGGTAAGAACTTGGACTCAAGCATTTTTGTTCGCTTTACTACATAAACCTGTCTAAGTCTAATCCTAATCCTAGGTCTAGTGGTAGTGACTCAGTAAATAGTAAATTAAACTAATTTAAAGATTAAAGTCAGTTATCAATTTGGCTTGGTGAACAATTTACGGCCAATTTACAATTAAATTGAATTAGTAATTATTATAGTAATTGACATTGTCTGTTGATTGCTACTAATACTAATACTATTAAATTGATTATTAGCCTATAGTACTATACTTACTATTATACGCAGTATTGCTAAACTAAAGACTTGCATTACTAATAGTAATAATATATAGTATAGTATATAATATATAGTATAGTATATAGTAAAAGTACTAAACTAAAAGTAGTAAACTAATTTAATAAGACAAGACATTATTTTATCATTTATTAACGGTAGCCATACCATTATGTTATTAAGTTATTATATAACTTAACTTGCTTAAATCTCAGGAAATCGTTAAAAATAAATTGTGTAAATAATTTAACAATATTAATATAATGTGGACGTGGAAGAACATGGAAAATTACATCATTAGTCATGATTAGTACATAAATGTGATTGTTGTAGCCTAGTAATATTAATAAGTTAGTAATGTTATTATATATATAGATCTCCATGTTAACAAAGATTTAAAATTGTATCACTAACTAGTAATATTATTTCTAATACTGCATTAATTTTTCTGATCTGTATTTTATTTATGTTAAATATGCCTTACTTTTAGATGGACATTATCTGTTTGTATTGAAAATTTCATAGTGATAGCTTTATTGGTTTAATAATTATGTCATTTTTTGAAGAAAAAAATTTGTTCGACAATTGTCGTTATCCATGCTATATGCTTATAAAAAATTTTTTCAAAAAATATAATAAGTTAATTCAAAATTCATGTGTTTAATTTTGTTAAACATTGTATTGTAAATGTGTTCTCCAAATTTGAGCAGTCTAACTTTAAAAGCCAACAAGATACAACCAAAATAGTACAAAAAGAGTAATAATTAGATCACAGTTTTAAAAATTAAATACAAAGCCAAATAGTGGGAAAAAATAAATCACTAAAAAATTCATAACTTTTCTTCTACAAGTGATAGAAAGATTATCTTGGTGTCAATGGAAAGCTTAAAGTCAGCTCTTTCCAATGATATGCTCTTTGTGTATGTCAGATGTATCTGAAATTTTGAGTTGGAGTACCTAGTGATAATGACATTGATTTATAGATACAGTAATACTTAAAGTTTGTAAAAGTACATAATAAATAATAGTAATAGTTTATGAATATGATGTGTGATTCTGTGAAATTTGAAAAGGTTTGTTGGCCCGTAGAAGTAGTGAAGAGTGCCTTCTAAGTCTAAAGTAATGTTATTGCTATTCAATTTTCTGTTTTGAACACCATTGGCATATTATCACAAATTCTTAAATACAATGTGACTTTGTTATTACATTTCAGAATTATGGCCAAAAAAATACTCATAACAGGTGCTTCAGGGCTTCTTGGAAGAGACTGTTTATCTGCATTCTTCCATGACCCTGAATGGACAACACTTGGGTTAGCTTACTCACGAGCAGGAAGCAATCTCAGAAAAATAGATTTGACAGATGCAAAGCAAGTCAATGATGTCATTAAAGAATTTAAGGTGCATTACTTATAAGTTAGGCCTACATCATACATTTTGTAAAGACTTTTATTATTACTATATTAATAAGGATCAAACAATATGCGCCAAATTATACAGTGATGAAAATCCAGTATGTGTACTTGTATATGCATTCATCAAAGATACATAGCTCCAGGCATCACATGTTCCTTTTAGAAAAAAAAGGAAGATAAGTTGGCCGTGATGTAGGATAGGGGTGTAAGGGGGCGGCTTGTCCTGAACGACCTGTTTCTTTCTTAAAAGGAGGGGCAGTTGTTTTGGGGAGAAAGACTTCTTTTTTTTTTTTTGGTGGTGTTGTGTGGAGGGGGGGGGGGGGGGGGCAAACAAATACCTACCCACATCGGGTAGCACTAACTCTAGCTACACCACTGTATATTGGGCATTTGTTGGAAACTATGAACTTGTTTTGGCCCTAACTGTATTTAAACAAATTCACTGTAACCGTCACAGATATAGGAAGAAAGGACGGTCTGCCTGGGGCGACAATTATTTTGGGGCTGTATTTTCACTCTACACTTGGTAACGCTTATTTTTTATACTTATTCTGTAAGGATTGGGGTTTTGCTCAAATAGGGGTGGTAAAATTAAATACTGCTCCAGACATCGCAACCTTTGGCTACTCCACTACCAAGCATTATAATGCTGTGGGTAAAAGCTTATAAACAATGAAGAATGATGAATCCTGAAAACTATCAAACTTATTGTTAAAGTATGAATAAGAAACGTTTTAAAAAATTGGAAGTTGTATTTATTTATGCATTTTTGTATAGCGCTTACCTTACAGCTCTAAGCGCTTTACAATTTTTAAAAATAGGTAAACTATTTAAAACTGCTAAAATAAAATAAAAAATGAAAACAAGACAGACTAGAACAGTAAAAAGTTACTATAAAAACAGTAGCTAAAACATTAAAAATGGCTATAAAAAGAAGAAAACTTAGGCACATTTTGGCATATACATTGAAAAAACATAAATACAAAATCAACCCGAGAACGAGGCAGGGAAGGTGCATCACAGGTCATAGGCGGACCTAAACAGATGGGTTTTAAGGGACTTTTTGAAAGTGGACGAGGTTTCACAATGACGGATGTGGAAGGGGAGCTGGTTCCAGAATGTGGGCGCGTGGAAGAAGGAGCATTCACCAATGTACCAGTCATACCCTTTTTGTGTGCTCAAACTATCATATAAATCACTATTGCATAAAAGTTATGAATTCGAAAATAAGTGTTCCCCCCTCATGCCTTTGATGCTTAAAAAAATTGGATTGGATTTCTTTATTTTTAGAAGGACAGCGGAACATTTGATGTGCACATTAGAAACTGAAACATTTTTTGTGAACTGGTTAATGTAGCCAATAGTTAATCATATGATAAATTCCTAATTGAATTCTCTAGCCTACAGTCATTCTCCATGCGGCAGCTGAGAGAAGGCCAGATGTTGTTGAAGAACAAGAGGAGAAAACTAAAAATATAAACGTTGATGCCACCAAAAATTTATGTGACTTGGCAAGTAAGTTCACAGACTGCACTTCAGTCAGCTGGAAATTTTGCAACAATTAAATCTTTAGCACAATTCACAGACTTTCTGTTCTAATAATATATTTTTCATTATTCGAGATCAAGAATGGATTTTGTTTAACAGCAATATCACTAATCTGCTAAATAATGCAGATTGTTTAAGTGTCTGAGTCACAGAAGGATCTAGTGATATGAAATTATGTTTATATAATGTTCTGCTACATGTTTGTAGGTCACAACATCTTTTTTCAGCTGCCTTTGTTTCCATCAGAGATAGAACATTATAATGGTAATTATCCATTTCCTTGAAAACCTGTACTGGGTGCTTGGTGGCCAAGTGATCTAAACTGACTCATTCCAAATAGTGGTGGTCTGGAGTTCAATTCCCACCAAAGCAAACATCCCAAGCGGTGGATGGGACTCATTAATCCTTGGAAGGCAACTCATCTAAGAGAAGGCTAAGTCTGAATTCAAGCCAGGAGCCAAAATGATCAATAATTTGATTGTGGGCCCTCAAATATGAAAAAAAAAAAAAACTTTTTTCATTGTAGCTATATATAGCTGTATTTTCATGTGTCTTTTTAATAAGGCGAGTCATCAAATATGGCACAAAACCCCAGATGAAGCTACATTTGAAAACATTTCTTGTTATAAAAATTAATCTTGTCTCAACTGTAAGTTTTATAGTTTAATTTATGTTTTAAAAAATTTATTAGAGCGACGCTATCATATTTTATGGTTTTTTTTCATTTTGTCACAGATGAAGTAGGTGCTTACATCTTATTCATCAGCACAGATTATGTCTTTGATGGCACAAAGGCTCCATACAAACCAACTGACAAGCCAAATCCATTGAACAAGTATGGCCTCAGCAAAGCAGAAGGAGAGAGGGTGGTGATGGAGTCTAATCCAAGTAATATTTATTTGATAGTTTGGTATTAACTTACTGAAAACTGTAAATAAATCCAAATGTTGCATGGTTATTAATTGAGAATATGGAATCCTCACACTTTCAAAACCATGCTGATTTACCTATATTTCACTAATTGTTTTATCTAAAGGAAATATAGTAATGCGGGTGCCTGTCTTGTATGGCGTTGTAGAAAGATTAGATGAAAGTGCAGTGACTGTATTATTCAGCAAGGTGAAGGACCCAAGCAAGCCAGCAGAGATGAACCATTATGAGCGCCGGTATCCCACATCTTGTTCAGATTTGGCAGATGCTATTAAAATTCTGATTGAAAGCAGGGTGGAGGTGAATACAGCATTTCTTGTGTGATCACTGCATATTTTGTTTCGTACTTTTATGATAATTTTTTTTAAAGACGTTTTGAGTGGGTGTATGAATTTTTTTTTTATGTTTCAAGAAAAAAATTGTTTTAAGATTTAAGTTTCTTTATGATAATTGTTAGGTTTTTTTTAAAAATTCAGTTAACCTGGTGGATGTAGTAATTTTTTTCCTCATTAAATGATTACATCATTTTTATGTTGAACCATGTTAGTTTTTTTGTGTGTAAAGTTAGCCAAATGCAAGCTGTTGTATGTTTACATAATTGCTGGCTATTTTCATTTCAGAACCCAGAACTAACAGGCTATTTTCACTGGAGTGGAACCCAGATGATGACCAAGTATGACATGGCACTGGCCATGGCTGAACTATTTGGTATTCCCACAAATCACATTGTAGCCGACACAAAGCCAGCCACGGGTGCACCACGACCATTTGATTGTCAGCTGGAATGTTCCAGAATGGAATCCTTAGGAGCTACAAAAAGGACTCCTTTTAAAGTTGGCATCAAAGCAGCCCTAGAAAAGTTTTATCCCTAATGTGAATTCAATATCTCTCATGATTCCAATGAGCTGACATCACCAGGCATAAGTGAAAGAAAGATGAGCAGCTTGTTTCTAACATAATTTTTAAAAATGGCATTTACTTTGTTCTATTTTCCTTATTATTAAACAATGGACTATTTAAAAAGAATTTACAAGTGCAACACAAATACAATGTTGGCTATGGGTTTTATTATTTCATGGGAAAATAAATCACTGGTTTATAAATTGTTAGTTTTGTTTAAATGCTATGTGTTAATATTTAATTAATCATTCAGTTGTCAAAGGTTGTGTACGGGGTTAATAAATGTATTATGTTATAAGTTATAGCAATAAAATGGTGGAATAAAATATTCATTGCTATATTGTTTTCAGTGATACATAATACAATAGTGAAGAAACATAGTCTTCATTGTTAAAAAATAATTTTTTAAACATTGCCATAATTAAATCTATTTGATTTACTTTGAATTAAAATTGTGAACTTTGTCAGTTACCATAGCATTGCCATGTACAATTTGCATTTATTTATGTCTATAATCATAATAAATTAATGCTGGGTTGATCTTTACCAGTGATTTGGAGTTGGTTATTTTAAATTATCAAGTTTAACTTATTTGTGTTAAAATATCTTTGGTTTTATTTTCACAAAAAAAATACTTTTAATTAGTATAAATGATAAAATTTTAGGGTTTTAAGGCCAAAGAAAAATAAATGATATAAAAAGTAAAAAAACATCTTGAAAATATAAATTTTATTTTTAGCTATGTTCAAACTTTTGGCTCCTTTTAATTTTATTTGTTACGTTAACTAAAACAAAAATCTCGAAAAAGAATTCACAATTAAATGAATTAGGCTATGCTTTCCTGAAGTAGAGTAGACGTGAAGAATTTTGTTAATGACTTAAATGACTTTTATTGTGGTTTTGACAGTCTGGATTTTGCAAGTGTACACATTGAAATGATGAATTCATTTAAAAATGCCAGTACTACACAGGATGGTACTTTCTTGTTCACCAAACAGGAAATGATGTCATTTTTTTTAAAAAGTGGACGCAGCCATGGCCTCAGGCCAGACAAATTAAGTGGTTGGCTCGTTAAACTTTGCTCAGAGCAGCTATTCCTAAATTTTTTGTTACATATTGAATAAATCTTGTGTAACTCACACTATACAAAAAATTTGGAAAACTTAAGAAATCATACCCATTCCAAAGAAAAATAAGGTAACTTGCAACAATGCCTAAAGTCCTGTCGCACTTACCTCTATTCTAATGAAATGTTTGGAAAAATTTATTCTGAGACAAATTTTGAATGAAGTACAGCAAAACCTTGACCCCCCCACCAATATGCTTATAAACTTGCCAGAAGCACAGAGGATGCTATCTTATTGTTGGAGGGACTTAACCATCACCTAAGACAGCCCTAAAAAATATGCTAGAGTGCTTTTATTAGACTTCTCATCAGCATTTAACACTATCCAACCACACCTTATGATAAAGAAACTTTCCAGGTTAAGTGTAAATTCAAATATTCAAGCTTGGATACTGAACTTTTTTTTACAAATTGCCTACAATATGTCATGGTAAAGGACCAATTATCTCAAACCAGAGAAATAAGCTCCAGGGCGCCACAAGGTTGTTGTCTCTCCCCTGACCTGTATACAATATACACCAATGATATTCAGAGCTCAAGCTACACAGTTCCATTCATAAAATTTGCTGATGATATCACCATCATTGGCTTACTATCTGAGGGAGAGGGCTTATACCGCATGTCTCAAAAACAAAGGAAATGGTTTTTGATTTCCGAAGAGGGAATACCTGATTACAGATCTCAATATAAAAAATCAAGGTGTAGAGAAATTAGTGGCATATAAACATAAGTACTTAGGTGTCACCATTAATAATAAGCTAACAATGGCATGAGCATGGCCAAATGCTCTATAAAAAAATTCAACAAAAGACTTTTCTACCTAAAGAAACTAAAATTTTGGCGTAAACAAACAAGTTGTTAACTTATTCTACAGTGCAACAATTTTAAGCCTACTTAATTACAGCATTACCTTTTGGTGTGGGAATTCAAACACAGAATAAACAGACCAATCAAGAAAGCTAGGAACATAACACAAACTAAACATCATTCACTTGAAGAAAGATGTTATTGTAAAACTTAACCAATTTTGGATGATACACCCCACTGACTTCACCACAGATAATTAGGATCGGCTCAGGGACTATTATGACTAAGGGAGTTCACTGAATGGCTGTTTATTTTCACTAGTGAAATAATTTCATGCAGATGTCTTGTGTTCAAATTGTTTTAGTTGAAAAATGTGAACTTTATTAAAATATATATTTATTTGTGTGCGGAAAATTTATATCAAAAACATTTCCATTTGTTGGGATCAATAAGAGACTCTCATCTTATCTTATCTTACAAGATGTTAAATTAAATACAAAGTAAGAGTTGGGGGTGGCAAAAATTGTTTTAGTTGAAAAATGTGAACTTTATTAAAATATATATTTATTTGTGTGCGGAAAATTTATATCAAAAACATTTCCATTTGTTGGGATCAATAAGAGACTCTCATCTTATCTTATCTTACAAGATGTTAAATTAAATACAAAGTAAGAGTTGGGGGTGGCAGAGTCTTACTTAAAAAATAGACATTTCAGACAATTAGTTAACGAAGTGGCCAGAAGTTGTGTATTAAACTCAAAAGGGTTTATTTTACAAAGCTAAGCTCCATGTGTTTAGGTGGAGTTAAGACAATACAAACCTTCACAGATTAAACCCTCAGTTAATTACCATTTTTAAAGCATATTTGCAAATTGCACCCGATATTGATAATTCACAATTTTATTCAAAGGAAAAACTCCAGTTAAAATAAAGTAGAGGGTGCTGCTCAAATAGATTACAACATGATTGTTTTGATGTCAGATTTAAGTTGGTCATTCATGTAAGATCATAGCAATAAACCAAGTTGTCCCGGCAACCAACAATAACATGGTTGTCCACTACAACGGGGGAAGAGAAAACATCACCAGGTAGTTTCACCTGGGCCAGAAGGTGTCCACGTAGAACATCCATCACATAAAGGTTTCCATCACTGGATGCAGTCACAAGTACTTTGGTTTTGAAAAGATCACATTTTAAAAAACGAGTTTCTCTAACATCTACGGCTGTGTCATACAAAGGCGCTTTGTTTTTGGCAGTGTCTTCTTGCCACCAATGTAAGACAACGAATCCAGTGCTGTAAACTGTATTGGAAGTTTCAAATGTCCAGACAACCTCACCATTGGTTTTTAGGTGGTACAAACGGTGGTCGTGTGAGCCGAAAAATATGGAGGAATCATGTACAGTCGGAGTCGAGAAAATAGGAGCTTGAGTTTGGAATGTCCATTCCTGAGGATGTAAAAAGGTTATGTTTTCTTATATAGTTTCTATGAAACATGGATGTGTACTTTTCACAATCCAAAGTAATGGTTATAAAATATCTTTACCCAACTTCAAGCCAGCAGCAATTAGGGCTTGCATATTTTAATCTATTCTAATATAATAATAATAGTGGAGCTGGTCAATTATCATGTTTTGGAAACTGATAGCTTCAGTTATTAGTTTTTCATCTGCTCTCACATCTTTTGTTCTGAAATTAAATTAAATGATTACCCAAGAATGGTTACCGGAAATTTGATCGAAAGAAATTTCTTTGACGGTAAATTGATCAACGGAAATTTGATGGAACGGAAATTTGATCAAATCTTTTTTTCAGTTCACACCTTAAAATTTTCATCTAATTTCTTTTTGAACGCACTATACTAGACTATATAGTAAAACAAAATAATGCGTTCAAAAAGAAATTTGAAGCAAAATTTTAACGTAAAAACTGAAAAAAAAGATTCAACCAAATTTCCGTTCTATCAATTTACCATCGACGAAATTTCTTTCGATCAAATTTCCGGATACGACCTAAGAAATAAACACTGAAATTTCTTAGTCTCAAATGTTAAATTTGTTTTCATGTGAAATCTAAACCAAAATAAAGAGTGAAAGATTTAGAAAACATACAATATATCCTGATGCACTAAGACAGTAAAGACAACCATCAACACATCCCACAAGTATGGATTCATTGCAGATGCACAAAGATGAAAATATGGGCTTGCCTAAGTCACAAGTCCACTTGACTAGTCCAGCATCCTTTCAATAGCAAAAGTAAACAATTAGCATGAGGAAAGTAAGCATGAATGTGACTGATTCTTCAATTCAAATTAATTTTCTTTTATAATTTAGACCAAAACTCCTGCATTTGCTAAACAAGACTTTTTAAAAAGCTCATTTCATAAGTTTCTAAGACCAACATGACATAGGAGACAGATTCTTTAATAAACATGCATACATTTATTTATATTAATAAATCCAAAGTGTACAGATCTCCATATCTTGAGGTACCAACTTAATTTTTAATACTTATGTTTATTTTATATATGTTGGGGTATAGTGGGATGAATGAACAATTTTTAAACTAATTTCAGTCATTTCAACCATTTAACAGAGCTCAGACCAAATAAATTATTGGGCATATTCTGAAGACTGTTTTTTAAGTCATTCAATGACTGAATGAGTAACCAACTGAATTTAAGTTTGGAAATGAATTATGATAAATAATTCATTTGAAAAAAACCTTTTATAATTAAATTTTAAAAATGGTTACAGTTCTCAATCAAATATATTTTTAACTTAACACAACTTGAAAATATTTAAATACGAATGTAAATACAACTGTATAGATAAGGTATTATACACATTTAAAAGAATTAATAATTTTTGTTAAAAAATATATATATTTGTTAAAAGTGAGAGAACAGTTGAGAAGTGTGTTCATTTCATAAACCTACAGCAGTTAAAGCAGTGACTTTTCCACCTAATGTAGCTGCATACAAAAAGCACTGTTTCAGGTCAAGGACAGGGGATGAAAACACACTGCCTCCATTTAGACATACTTCCCATATACAACGTTTGACCTAATGAATGAAAAAAAAAAAATTAATGAAGTTTTCACAGGCTACGGCTATATTTGTTGGTATCCTTATTGTAGTAATACCATGTTGTTTGCCAATAGTTGTGAGATATCAGTATTATGAAGGAGGTTGAGAAATGCTTTTTGTTATATTATGTGTTCTTGAGATTGTGTAGTATGGAAGAAACACATTTCTGATCATGGATCCGGAGATCGGGGTAGTCCAAGGAAAGTATTTGGGATGTGAAAAGGTTTAATGAGATGACGCAAGTTGTGTTCTGTCTGGAATTCACAAAGACACTTACACATCTTCAGTCAGAAGATGGACGCAACACGTTGCAGCTCTGTGCGGGGACCTACGGCGCAACTACAGAGCTCTTCTTCAGATCTGTGTCTGATATTACAAAAGGGATATGGCCATAGATGTCGAACTAACCCAGACTGCTCTCAAAGGTTCTTATGTTGCCGACTTGATGCCCCGTAAGAGAAAATACAGCCAAAGCAGTAAGTCTGCTAGTATCTACATAAAATAATATGCATCAACTTACATTCAAATCCATACAGTATATTGTGCCATCATGTGATCCACACACAATGTGACCAGTGACTAGGTTCAACACTGGGGAACACTTCACCATATCTCCTGTGGCAAAAGTCCATTCTCTGTGTCCAGTTCTAGCATTGAGGACATAGATGACACCATCATAACACCCTAGGATGGAGATATTTTAATTATTTTGACTTTGTAATACTATATATATTTTATAATTATTGAGTCAGTT